TCTTTCCTTTTAGTCCCCAGCTACAGAGTGCAAGGTTCAGGGCAAATTTGTAAGTGATTCAAAGTGTAATTCCTATTAATGGTAGATTCTAATGTACCAATATACTGTGTAATGTCAACTTACTGTGGACAGTATTGTGTGTGATATTAATAGAATGATTTTATTTAAAAAACTATGAATAGAGTACAGTGTAAATATTTTAAGGGTTTTTTGTGTGTGTGTGGGTTTTTTTTGGCCAGGGAGCTGTAATTTCTGATTTGTCCTACAATGTATCATTTTACATTCTTTTAGTCATCATTTTACAATTTTAGGGAGTTCTGCTAAATACTTTCAGTATTAAATTACTTTTAGTAGCTACTAAATATATGACTGATTGGCTTAATGAAGACAGTTGTTCACTGGTTGAGCTTACTGCAAAATAGTCATGTAGTAGGGTCAGTTACTTTTTTAGAAAGTATAAATCATAGTAACTATTGAAAGACTTGGAACCTTCATTTTTATAAGGTCCAAATCGCGTTGTTTAGTCATGGAGCAAAATGATTTTTTCTGATTCCTTCAGTCAACAAATTAATAGTTAAGCTCTTCTAGGTGCTGGAAAAGCAAATGGTTACATGGTATTTATAGTATGAGGGATTTAAACTCTTATTAAAGACCTAAATTATTACTACTCTTTTCTTAAAATAGATAGCAGCTTTGTATTTGACAAGTGTGAATATTAGCAACTGGACAGCCATCATTAAGCATCTTTGGGTTTTTTTTTTAATATAGAAAGGAGGTAGCATATAAATTCTTCGATAATGTGAAAAGCTGAAAGGACGTTAATGAACATATTCTTTAAATATATTTGGAAGAGGGAAAGAAGTGGAATACTCCTTGTTTGTTCCCCTAAATTAAACAAATATATAATATTTTCACATTGCCATTTTCATCCTCTTTCTTAGAGTTAGAAATAAGAAGACGGGAGGATGAGTACAGATTTACAAGTAAGTGACCTCTCTTCAGGTCCTCCTCTGTAATCATTCTTCCTTTTGAGATTTACCTCAGTGAAGTTTGTCAGCAGTAGTAATGGTAGACATGTATTTGCTTGTGTATTACTAAGAAAGATATTGTATATTATCTAAGCCTGTTTGCTATACATGGTATATATAACTTTGGAACAGTTTCATAGCTAATTTGTGTAGTTTGTAGATGTTGGGTTATTTTAGATATTTGATTTTATCTTTTCTGTTGTGTTATTTCTTAAAGCATAATGTAGAGAAATAAAAAGTACTATATGCAGTTTTTCTCTAGATCTGCATATTAACGGAAGTTGTATTTTTAAAAATCTGTAGCTTGAATATTATATCCTTTTTTTAAAAAAACCATACAATTAGAGTTGGTCTGCCTGTAAGTGACAAATTTTAGGGGAGGCAGATTATCTTCCAGCTGCTCTTGGCCAGAAACCACACTGTTTATTTTTTGGTGTTTATGAAACTTAGTGTAGACTTGCTAATTACACGTAAGCACCAAACTCACTGTTGCGAGCCCTAGACTGCCCCTATAAGCATCAGATGGTCTGATGGAGGGTGTGGAAGGACCTGATAAACCAAAGATAGTGGCCATTCTGATGTCCTGAACCCATTCTTTGGAGGTGGATATAGCTGCCGTACAGAGGGAGAAGGTTCCAAAGTTATAAGAAAATTCATGTTGTCACAAAAGACAAAAAACAATAGATAAGCCAGTATAAACATTTTTCACTTAAAAGTTTGATAATTTTACATTTGCCTTTGAACCAAACAGTATTATACATCTACTATTTGAAGTGTACTATATATTCAGGATGAGCTATGAGAACATAATTAGTTTACCAACTCTGGCATGAGATTTATTAAATGTAATAAAATATGCTATCAATATATATTCATAAATTTGGGCAGGTGGCTGATGAAGCTACTATGAATTATTAAAGAAAAGTCTATAGTGAGTATTTTGATAAAATAGATAATATATGTAGTGATTTTTTAAAAATGCGTGTAGTGGGGCTTCCCTGGTGGTGCAGTGGTTGAGAGTCCGCCTGCCGATGCAGGGGACACGGGTTCGTGCCCCGGTCCGGGAAGATCCCACATGCCGCGGAGCGGCTAGGCCCGTGTGCCATGGCCGCTGAGCCTGCGCGTCCAGAGCCCGTGCTCTGCAACAGGAGAGGCCACAGCAGTGAGAGGCCCGCATACCGCAAAAAAATAAAAAAATAAAAAAAATAATAATAATTCTTGGATGTTCCTTTGGAAATCACATATTAGAGACCAACATATGTCTTTTTAACATGTTAAGATTGATGCTTTTTTCCTCCATCATTGGAACATAAGGTTTTTCTGAAGTTAAGCACAAAATGAAATAGTTGGCTTGCATATAAGGGCTGTGTTATACAAATACTTAAACACAAGAAAACGGTAGTACTAATAGTAAATTCTTCCAAAGCACATATAAAACTATCTGCCAGGCACTGTTTTAAGTGTTTTACATGTATATACTCATTAATCTTCCCCAAACCTATGAGACAGAAACTATTATTTTCACTACCATTTTACGTATAAGAAAATTGAAGCACAGAAATTTTAAGTAGTTTGCCCAGGGCCATATAGCTGATGAGCTGCACACAACTAACTGTTGTAGCCTGCTTGCTCATAGACCTTATTATAGAGAGCTGCCTATGTAATGAGAGATATGCAAGAACAGAGACTTAACTGAAAGAATAGGAGAGTTATCTCAAGTTTACCCTGGGGCATATTTTCATAAATGGAATGACAAACATCATTTGTTCTGTACTATTTAAATTATTCCTTTTTTAAAAAGACTTAAATCATAGAGTAAGTTAAATACATGTGTCATATGATTTCACTGTAGTCAGTATGCTTCTTGTGATTTTGTTCAAATTACCTAAATCTTTTCCCCATTGGGCAGACCTACTTTTCAGCCAAGCACCTTCTTATATTGTCACAGTTCCTAACTAGATTTTGCTGAAATTAAAAAAAAAACTTATCTTTTTTTTTGTTTAGTAGGGCCAACTATCTAACTGAACTAATATAGACTGCATTTTTTTTGCCTGATGTGAATTGTACTGAGACATAGCATTGTGATTTATTCGCTGATCATTAACTGTCAAATGGAGCACAATTTAATTAAATTCAAATGTTTATTTAATGCCTATTATTTTTGATGACTAGAATAACCCTTTACCAAAGAGTGTGACCCAAAGATAGTTTGAAACTGACAGCCAGATAGAATAGGACTATAATAATATGTCTGCTGAACATCTGTCTGTTGGTTTGATTAAAATAATAAAGCATTGGGGGCTTCCGTGGTGGCGCAGTAGTTGAGAGTCCGCCTGCTGATGCAGGGGACATGGGTTCGTGCCCTGGTCCGGGAAGATCCCACATGCCACGGAGCGGCTGGGCCCGTGAGCCATGGCCGCTGAGCCTGCGCTTCCGGAGCCTGTGCTCCGCAACAGGAGAGGCCACAACAGTGAGGGGCCCGCATACCGCAAAAAAAATAAAGCATTGGAAAATACTGATATTCTTAGAAACAACCTAAAAATAAATCCAGAAAATATAAACAAGTATGATATGAGCACAGATACCTTAAATGCTGAGAGCCAGGAGCAATATGGATAGTTAAAAATCTGGCTAATTGAAAAGAGTATTGGGATTCTTTCCTTCAGCCAAGAGAGAGTGAGAATAAGATTTTTTTAAAGGGATCCAGCTGATAAACTGTTAGTTCGCCAACAGTATGATTCCCATATAGTTAAGATTATGTCTCTAATAAAGGAACTGCAGTGATCCAGTTGAGATCCTGTAAAATCAGGAATTCAGATAGGGCCAGGGATAATGAATCTTACCATAGTTGGTTTCTCTGGTAGACTCACAGGATCATTTTTAAATGTGGAAGAGACTGTTTAAAGGTCATATGTCTCAGTATTTTCACTAAGGAAGCAGGCCCAGTAAAGCTAAGTGACTTGCCATGCTCCTACAATAGAACCGAGACTAGAACCCAAGTTTCCTATTTCTCAGTTCAATGTTTTTCCCTTTCTCTACAGCCCTGCTTATTTTCATTTGTACTGAAAAAAATAATATACCTTTGTTTATCTTTCAAAGTGCCTCCAAATCAATTGTGTTTTGTTCTTTTTTATTTTTTTATTGGCTGTGTTGGGTCTTTGTTGCTGCACGTGGGCTTTCTATAGTTGAGGCAAGCGGGAGCTACTCTTCGTTGTGGTGCGTGGCCTCCTCATTGTGATGGCTTCTCTTGTTGCGGAGCATGGGCTCTAGGCATGCAGGCTTCAGTAGTTGTGGCATGTGGGCTCAGTAGTTGTGGCTGCGGGCTCTAGAACACAAGCTCAGTAGTTGTGGCTCACGGGCTTAGTTGCTCCGTGGCATGTGGGATCTTCCCAGACCAGGGCTCGAACCCATGTCCCCTGCACTGGCAGGCGGATCCTTAACCACTGCGCCACCAGGGAAGCCCTTGTGTTTTGTTCTTAAACACAGGCATAGAAACAAAGTGTACATATGACTTGCTCAAGATCATATAGCTATTTAGAGGCAAATAAAGGACCAAAGCTAAAGCTTTCTGACTCCTAGCACTGTTCTCCTATTATACTGCCTTCTTTTCAGTAAAAGTATATTCTTCATACAAGTTTATGTAAATAGGGAAGGTAAAAATAATCCATTTCCTTTGCTTAAGATTCCCTGAATAATCATTGTGTATTGTACATTTCTCATTAGATAATTTGAGGCTTTCTTCCTTTATAGGTAAGGCAAAATGTCAGAATATTTAAATTTTTTCTAAATAGGTGATTGGTTTTAGATGTAGGGTTTTATTGGGCATTTTTTCAAGTAAAATCAAATGAAGCTCTAATAATTCCTTTGGCATTTTTTCAGAGTTGCTTCAGATTGCTGGAATTAGTCCACATGGTAATGCTTTAGGAGCATCAATGCAGCAACAAGTAAACCAACAAATACCTCAGGAAAAACGAGGAGGTGAAGTATTGGATTCTTCCCATGATGACATAAAACTTGAAAAGAGTAATATTTTGCTGCTTGGACCAACTGGGTCAGGTAAATAACTTACTGAAAAATCACTACTCATTTAAAAAAAAAATAGGATATAAATGATTCTGTAACCTGTGTCTTATGACTGGGGGATTCTCACTCTTAAGAGGAACATCTAAGGCCAATCTTATGGTAGTTATAAAGGGCTTAGAACTGAATTTGAGGTGTTGGTATTGCCCTTTAGGCCAGTCCCTAATATCTTAACAGGAATAATGAAAATAGCGTACCATTATGTCTGAGTAATAGTAGAGAAAAGATGTAACACTAATTTTTCTTATTATACATTATTCACATTTAATTTGTTTTGCATTTTTATAGAGAAATTGTATGACAACATATTTTTAGTAAACTTTTAGTTACTGTTTCTATTTGTAGGTAAAACTCTTCTGGCACAAACCCTAGCTAAATGCCTTGATGTCCCTTTTGCTATCTGTGACTGTACGACTTTGACTCAGGCTGGATATGTAGGTGAAGATATTGAATCTGTGATTGCCAAATTGCTCCAAGATGCCAATTATAATGTAGAAAAAGCACAACAAGGTATGTTTCAGTGTAGTTTGTCCCCAGATATAGTCTGTTGGGGAAGCAGTCTAATAGCAAGAGAATATAATTTTTATTTTGAGTCAAGGAGTAAAATTCTATAATTATATAAAAGTAGCTATGTTAAACATTTTCTAGCATACTAAGGGCCACAAAGTTTGCTTTGCCTTAATGTTATAATATGCCTACTAGGGTGAAAACAGGCTAAATTACTATTCCATTAGATCCTTAATACTATCATTGTTTTTCCTGTTCTGACTTTCCTCTATGCTCGTAATGCTGGGGTTGGGTAAGGGAGGGGACAAGGACAAGTGCAGGAGAGTGCAAGATGTATATAGAAACAAATTAGGCTATTGACTTAGGGGATGTCATAGATGCTGCATTTCTCTTTTCCCTATCATCTGTCCTTGTTTACACGAAGAGCTTGACAGCTTCCTGTCCAAATTCCTTTAAGACAAGAATATAGATGGGAAAAAATAAGCTAAAATTTTGCTAATACCAGCCCTGTATCCACCTTCTGCTTTCACACTATACCTCTATCTCAGCTTCTTAGAATAAAGAACCTGAAAACATTAGTGGGGTAGATAACTATTGTCATAGAGAATTGGTTATCATACCCAAGTGATATTCTATAGAATAAATTATAAAACATTTGCACGAAATGATAGGTGGGAAAGCTAGCAGTGTATTTTTATAGTATTAAGCCATTGTATATGTTAAGTGTTAAAGATTAAATAACCTTGCTCTCTAGCTACCTAGTCGTTTAAAGCTGAGTTATTTTGTGTATATCTTTTTCATATTATAAATAGAATCCTCCTTAAATTATAGGAATTGTCTTTCTGGATGAAGTAGATAAGATTGGCAGTGTGCCAGGCATTCATCAGTTACGGGATGTAGGTGGAGAAGGCGTTCAGCAAGTAAGCAGTTGAATATTTTGTTCAAGTCCACTAAAAAGAAGGGAATACATCAACTTCCCAAATATTGTACGTTTGGTTTCACATTCAATTAGATTCTGTTTTGTTTATTTCTCCCACTCCAAACTCCATATACCATTTAGTTCAGGTCCTAAGAGAAAGCTGTTGGCGATTTTAAATACCAAATTACCTTTGTTAGGAAATTAAAAATATTTTAAAGAAATAAATGAAATTTAATTTTTGTTGGTTTTATTACACAAAGGCCCAGTTAAACATTTCTAGAGGACTCTTGAAGAACTAGACATAAATGAACTATGTACATGTATCTTATTCTTTTCACTTAATTAGAAGATAAAATAGAGTTTTATGCCTTATAGAGTCATACTTAGAGTCATAATAATCTATTGGGCAACTTGACCTTTTACTGGTAACTAATTATGACATAAATTACAGAGTAAGGAAAATTGCTTTTGTGTTTTTGACCAAGACATAGACAGGTACAGTCACACTTATAAAATGTGCTGGATGATGTTTTTATAAAGGCATCTCAATATATAGGTATTCTCAAAGTTTAACACTAGGAGTAGCATAGAACTTTAATTTGCATGAAAGACAAAACTTCAAATATTTTCAAATTTTGAATGTTCCCACCATGGTTGGATAACATCTTAGAGAGCCATAATTCTATCTTTATGTCAGAACTATGTCTTTACCATCAAAAACAACCTCTTGAGTTGACTGTTTCCTGAATGCATCAGGAGTCCTATACCTATTCCAAATAAATTTATGAATAATTAATGTGATAGTATATTAGATTTTCATGTTAGTTATAGAAATGTGGGAGTTTTCTTCAGTTATGCTCATTGACCATAACCACATATTATTTTCCCCATTGAATCCCATTACCTAAAGTATAATAAATAATACGCTTATATGATGATGCCATAAATCATTTATTCTTTATTTAGGGCTTATTAAAACTACTAGAAGGCACAATAGTCAATGTTCCAGAAAAGAATTCCCGTAAGCTACGTGGAGAAACGGTACAAGTTGATACAACAAACATCCTGTTTGTTGCATCTGGTGCTTTCAATGGTTTGGACAGAATCATCAGCAGGAGAAAAAATGAAAAGGTAAGTTTTTCTGAGTGATTACTAGGAGAGAAAGCAGTTGAAATTAGAGGATGGACCCTCAGTTTCTAATCTCATATCTGCTGGCTGCCAGTTGTGGATTTTTACGAGTTAGGTTTTCTTAGAGTATACCAGAAATATATGCCTAGTTATTTTTAAAATTTCAGAGTAGTAGTTTGGAAGATTTCTAAATATCATCTGTATATGGGCATTTTAAAAGTATAACTTGATGATTTCAATTTTATATTTCATCTAAGGAGTTTTTTATTATTTGAGGTAGCTGCTGTATCAATAAAAATTCTACTCATTTCTCTTGCCCAATTCACTGGAGCCCAATAAAGAGCTTGTCTCCATTGCTCCTGCCCATAGAGTCTTCATAGATCACTGCTGACATGCACAAATGGAGGAAAGCAGTTTGGAGGTTGGGGGGAAGGGTTGTGATCCCACCTAGTTTTATAGATGTTTCTTAAACATTCTTATAAGCCTTGATTTTAACTGGTACTTATTTTTTCATATCCTCAAAGTTCGTGCCCAGTACCTATTTATTGATTGATTATGATAAAACGTACTGTCAGCATAGTGGCAAGAAGCCCGAAAACATGCCTGTTTTCCATGCTTTTGTGTTTTACATAATAGCCACAAATGATACCTTTTATATAATATAGTCTACGTAAATGAATATATCATAGATCACCTCTTTGCTGTATTGTTTGCTTTAAGTCTCCTTGGCCTTGCATGTTTAGTAGTTTACTTTAGCTTTCAGTTTAGTAGTAGTAGCTACTAATGCAGTAGTTTAGTAGTAGTAAAAAAAAAAATAATAATGCTGCTAATAAATGGTTGCCTGTGTTAATTCTTTTGCATAGCCTAGATGAGAAACCTCTTGTACAGATACTAACTGAGCCAGGTAGTGCTGTTATTCCTCAATAAGGTTAGATTTTTATTTTTCATATTAGTTAATTTATGTTTTTCTTGCTTTTGAAATTCTGTATAAATTAGCCTAACAAATTAGAAAGACGAAATTATTTCTTTGTGTGTGCGCCCAAACATGCATGCGTTTGAGAGAGACAGATGGGGGAGGGTGGGGAAGAGAGAGAGAGAACTTTATATTCAAAATTCTGTAACCAAAGGCAAGGACCATGTTCTTATATTTATTTATAATTCATACTTCCAAAAAGAATTTGAAGCTAGAAACATTTAGAAAAGAACAGTTAAAACTATTATTAGTAAAGAGATCAGAAACATGTAAAAGGAAGGTGTAGGTCATTTCAACTTAGTGGAAATTAAGTCACTCTGTTTAGCTTTGAACTTCTTAATGAAAAGTAGGGAGAAATCGTGAGCTAGTTTTTATTGCCTGAAAGAGGAAGGGTATGATGTCTTCATGAGAAACAAAGATTAAAAAAGAGTTTTTCACTTAGATTTTTTTTTTTAATTTATTTTGGCTGTGCCGGGTCTTAGTTGCAGCATGCAGGATCTTCGTTGTGGCATGTTTAGTTGTGGCATGCAGGATCTTTAGTTGCAGCATGCGAACTCTTAGTTGTGGCATGCATGTGGGATCTAGTTCCCCAACCAGGGATTGAACCCGGGCCCCCTCCATTGGGAGCGTGGAGTCTTACCCACTGGACCACCAGGGAAGTCCCTGTCACATAGATTTTTAGGAAAAGAAGACAGAGACATAAGAGTCTGCAACAGTGATTTTATAGAGGATTAAACACATCCATTTGGCTACTGTTTTTACCAAACCTCATTGAAAGCCAGGAGTACAATATAAATAATATACCTCTACCTCTACCTCTTTCCTAACCATATGAAACTGCTTGCAGTCTTAAGTTTTATTCCTATTGCCTTTGCTCATGTCCTCCCCACCTCAGTCCAGTTGGCAAATATGTGTTCTTTTTTTTTTTTAACACAATAAACATATATTTCTTGCTCAAACAAATCCAGAAGTGTATTGGGTGGTAATATGTGTTCATTCTTTTTTTTTTTTTTTTAACATCTTTATTGGGGTATAATTGCTTTACAATGGTGTGTTAGTTTCTGCTTTATAACAGAGTGAGTCACGGCCATGGCTCACGGGCCCAGCCGCTCCGCGGCATGCGGGATCCTCCCGGACCAGGGCACGAACCCGTGTCCCCTGCATCGGCAGGCGGACTCGCAACCACTGCGCCACCAGGGAAGCCCTATGTGTTCATTCTTTAAGACTCACTCTGTTAAATGATTAGGCAGTTCCTCTGTGAAGACTTTCTTGGTCACCTCCTACCCTCTGTCCCCAGTATTTCCTCTTTTCTTTCTTTCCACTGCTGTAGTTTCCTGTACAGTTGTCCTTCATTGCACCTATGATGCTTTAATATCTTCATGTGTTCTCACTGTAAATAAGTCCCTTTAGGTTAGGATAAGGGCTCTCTTCAGGTTTGTATCCTCAGTGTTTTATAATAATGCTTAATGCTTAATAAATGTGTATCCATATATATAATAAATATGAGTATATATATTTATTACTATATATGCTTATATTGTATATATAATAAATGTTTAATATATGTTTAAATTATTGAATGAAAGGTATTTTGCTTTCTGATACACTAACTGTCCACATACACAGAGTATCAGGAATGGATTTTTAACTTAGCTGTTCTCATATGTCATGTACTTGTTCTTTTGACAAAAGTTGTATGACATATCAAAATTAAACTTCGGACAGTTGCCTGGAGTATAGTTCTTTTATATTGACTAAAGCAAGATCTATACACCTTAGATAAACAACTTTTTGCAGCAAAGTTACCATTTTTGTTTGATGTCCTTACATGTTCTTTATAAAATCGAAATTATTCTAACTCATAGGATGTTCTAACTCATAGGATATTCTAACTCATAGTATGCAACCCCAAATCACGATTTCAATAGAATGCTTAGCAATGACTTAAGACATTTTTGGATAATTTTGTTTTAAGTCTGCTTGTTCCATAGGCACTATTCCTGTTTACAGTATTACAAAACTGGCTTTGGTTACAAAATAATTACTATCTCTGTTTCCACAGTTCTTGCACATTTTGGAAGCTACACTAGTCTAGAGGTCTCAGAAAAATCCTGCAACATCATTGTATGAGTTCTAAGGGACTTCCCTTCACAGTTCTTACTTACCTACTTTTACTAGAATTCATTCTTTGAGAGTTGGTTAGATTCTCAATTCTGAAGGCAGATAGACCTGAGTTTGAATCCTGGCTTTTACCACTAGCAGCAATGAGAGCTTTGGTCAAGTTACTTAACTTCTCTAAGCCTTTTTTCTTCATTGTAAAATATAAATGATAATACATTCTTCTGTTGTGAAGATGGCATGAGATATGCATGTAAAATGCTGAGCACGATGCAGCTTTATTCTGTTATTTATAATACCTGTCTTTTCTTTGGCAGTATCTTGGATTTGGAACACCATCTAATCTGGGAAAAGGCAGAAGGGCTGCAGCTGCTGCAGACCTTGCCAATCGAAGTGGAGAATCAAATACTCACCAAGACATTGAAGAAAAAGATCGTTTATTACGTCATGTGGAAGCCAGAGATCTCATTGAATTTGGCATGATTCCTGAGTTTGTGGGACGGTTGCCTGTGGTAGTTCCTTTGCATAGCCTAGATGAGAAAACACTTGTACAGATACTAACTGAGCCACGTAATGCTGTTATTCCTCAGTACCAGGCCTTATTCAGCATGGATAAGGTTAGATTTTTATTTTTTATACTTACTTAATTTATGGGTTTTTTGTTTTTTGTTTTTTGCTACTGAAACTCTACATATGTTAGCCTAACAAATTAAAAAGCAATACTTAAAAAAAAAAAAAGCAATACTTACCTGGAATACCAGCCTATTCCTCACTAAATATGGATCTAGGAATCAGGGAAGGCACGTTGTGTCATATTAGACACTTAGGAGTTGGCTTTATTTTTTTCTTAATTAAAATCGACATTGTAGCTTAAAGCCCAAGGATATATATAGAGAGAAATTGTGCTAGCAGCCTAGCCCTAACCCCTCAAGCCAGGCACACAGGATTGTCTTTTCAGCCTTGATATTCTAAACGCTTTCATTGTGACATACTAGGTATACTTTTTTCTAAAGTTAGCTCTCACATCTACTTCTCTGCAGCCAGACACCTGGAGCCATATATCTAATCAGATAGCAAATGTTTGGGTTTTCTGAACTTAGTGTCTCAAAATATCAGTCTCCTTCTCTCCATTGCCATTGTCCCTACCTCAAGTCAATCTCCTTTATCATTCTTCACCTTGACCCATGCATTTACTTCCTAATTGGTCTCCCTATCTGAAGTCTGTCTCTGACCACCACCACCAAAATATTATCATCTCCCACTTTACTTCCAGAGTGGATCTTTTTAAAATTATTGAACACAATGTCCAACAAATATTAGATATTAAGTTCTTAATAAATACTTAATGAATAAACACAAAGCTAATTATTTTACTTCCCTCCTTAAAAATCCTTCAGTAGTCCCCTAGCCTTATTTAGATGCCCCCACTTTGGTGCTCTCTTAGGACCATGTGCAAACACTATGCTGTAAATGCTCTTTTGCTAATTTGTCACCACCCAATACACTTAAGTTTCTTGAGGGCAAAGGTGATGTCTGATTCATCACTCAGTTTCTAATATATAAACCCACAGGGGTTCAATAAATGTTGAATAAAGCCCTAGAAAATCCACGTTAATGTAGAAAACCTCTTCAAGGACTAAGGACAAACTTGTGATTCATACTGATACCTTCCCATAGGTTAATTCATAGAAACAAGTGCTTTTTGAAGGCAAGGTTCTGAAGCACCATGAGAGATAATTACCCCACTTAAATTTTACATTTTCTGGATGTAGAAATTAATAAACAAAAGTTGTTTATACCAAGATTTTATAAAATCTGATGTTCCAAAGTATTTTGATTTTGGGAGGGTATATTAACTTTTCAATAAGTTTTGGAATTTGTGGTAATTTAGAGAGACTTGTCAAAAGTTTTACCTTTGTTCTATAGGATGAGAGGGTTAGTAACACTCTTTAAAATGAATATTTTCCAGAAACTAAGTTACAGTCTAAAAATGCTTTAGTCTGAAAGGGGATAGGGTCAGTCAAGACACAAAGATTCTGACCCTGTGTTTCTGAGTGTTAGTGAATCAGTGTACTTAACTCTCTGGAAATTATTTCTTTACTAGTAAAGTCAGGGCATTAGTCTCTTTTTGTTCTAAAAAGACCAGTAATGGTGGTAGGTAGTAATAGTAGATCAAATACTGCATGGTTATATTAGGAAAATATCATCAAGTATTATCTGAGTTATTTCTTTTGAATATATTTGTAGTGTGAACTGAATGTTACTGAAGATGCTTTGAAAGCTATAGCCAGATTGGCACTAGAACGAAAAACAGGTGCACGAGGCCTCCGGTCCATAATGGTAAGTTGGCATAAATTTACAGAAACTAGATTATTTCTTGGTCTTAATTTTGAGAATATTAAACCTCGATGTTTTCCTCTGGAAATACATCTAGAAAATTGGTCTAATATTTTTTGTGATTTTTTTTTTTTTGGTCACAGTATATTATATTTTTCTTTTTTCTAAAAAGGAACTTCAAGGTGTTTGCAACAAAGGACATACAGTTAATATGATTAATGAAATAGAGGAAATCAGGATCATGGGAAGGAGAATTTCAGAAAACTCTACATAGGCCTTTTGACTTAAGCTCCAGAGTGCCTTCTCAGAACCATTGAAATCCTCGTTGTTTTTTGTTTGAAATTAAGTTGTAGATACTGTGGCATTTTACCCCTAAATTCTTCAGTATGTTATGAACTATTTTTATTTTGTCACAAATCCTAGAGACCCAGCCTACTTTGAGTCACCACCCACCCTCTTCCTTAGAGTTCTCACCCCTACTCCCCCAGGTCTGGCTGTACAGTGGGTTACTATTTCCCTACGTGCTCCCAAAGCAAGCACATATTCTGTTCTCTGAGGATTTCACTGCTAAATATTACTTCTCTCATTTCAGTAGGACTTTTTTTTTTTTTTTTTTTTTTTTTTTGCGGTATGCGGGCCTCTCACTGTTGTGGCCTTTCCCGTTGCGGAGCAGAGGCTCCAGACACGCAGGCTCAGCGGCCACGGCTCACGGGCCCAGCCGCTCTGCAGCATGTGGGATCTTCCCGGACCCGTGTCCCCTGCATCGGCAGGTGGACTCTCAACCACTGCGCTACCAGGGAAGCCCTCAGTATGACTTTTTGATTAGAACTACACATCCATCACAATTTGAGATTTTACTCTTTAATGAAGGCCTGGACTTCAGGTGTTGTGACAGATTTATAAGCATGTAAACTAGAAGAACAGGTGATATAGTTGACATTTTTAGAAAATTTGACGTACTCAACCAGTATTTTCCTTAAGATGGAATATAATCCAGCCCCTACTCATAGGCAAAACTAGTTTTCTTTAGTAAATAACTTTAGATCTACTGCAGCACTTGAGACAAATGCCTGTTTGAAGTCATAGCTTTGTAGAGATGATTTAGGATTAAATCGTTTTCAAATTAAGGATTACTAGTTGACCTCCTTTGGTCATAGAGTATGTCAGGAATGCTTCTGAGTAACATCTGAATCACATAAAAAATGAAGGTACACTCTTTTTGTATGTGCATGGTGACCTAAGTAGGCAGAACTATACAGACAAAAAGCCTTCCCTTATAGAATGACTTCTCTCTGAATTTAGTTAGAAGCTGTTTTAATATGAAGAATATGAAAGCTTTTACATTGACTTTTCAACATTCAGTTACTGGTGCATAACAGGGACTCCATAATATTTGCTGAGTTGATGAATTCGATTGATAACCTATAGAATACAAGCATTTTATATGTAACCTCAGTTTTCCATATAATTCATTACTTTTTTATCTCTTTAGGAAAAGCTGTTACTAGAACCAATGTTCGAAGTCCCTAATTCTGATATTGTATGTGTGGAGGTTGACAAAGAAGTAGTAGAAGGAAAGAAGGAACCAGGATACATCCGGTAAAGTGTATTGTCAAACTAAAACAAATCTAAAGCTTAAGATAGGCTCTTTATTGCTATGGTTTATTGGTCTGTCATCAAATTGTATAAAAATCCTTATAAATCATAAAGTAATCAGTTATCTCAAGTTTTCTGTAGAAAAATTATCTAATTTTGGTTTATAAAATGATATTTTGAGTCTTGAAAATTGATCTTCAAAATTAGTCTCCACTTGGGACTTCCCTGGTGGCGCAGTGGATGACTCCATGTTCCCAATGCAGGGGGCCCGGGTTAGATCCCTGGTCAGGGAACTAGATCCCACGTGCATGCTGCAACTAAGAGTTCGCATGCCACAACCAAGGAGCCCACCTACTGCAACTAAGACCTGGTGCAACCAAATAAATAAATATTTTTAAAAAAATTAGTCTCCACTTTTTTCTCCTAAAGGAAGAAGTATCAAAAAAGATATAAAAGTAATCCAAATGAAAAGACTTAAATGAACTTTGCTGCTAATTCTGTAATTTATGAATTACTTGTTTCATGTCTTTCATAAGACCAAAACTTTAAAAAATATTTATTTACTTGGCTGCGTCGGGTCTTAGTTGTGGCATGAGGGATCTTTGTTGCGGCATGTGGGATCTTTCATTGTGGTGCAAGGGCTCTTCATTGTGGCACACAGGCCTCTCTCTAGTTGTGGTCCCGTGGGCTCTGGCTCTCTAGTTATGGCACGCAGCCTCAGTAGTTGCAGTGTGTGGGCTCTCTAGTCGTGGCGTGTGGGCTCAGTAGTTGCGGAGCACGGGTTTAGTTGCCCCGCGGCATGTGGAATCTTAGTTCCCAGACCAGGGATTGAACCCGTGTCCCTGCATTGGAAAGTGGATTCTTAAGCACTGGACCACCAGGGAAGACCCACGTAAGACCAAAACTCTGACGACATAATTTTTCTCTTAGTTGTATCTTATCAGCTGACAAATTTGACATATCTTTCCCTGCTTTATTTAACTATTCTAGGGGTCAGTAAACTGTCTTGTACAGGGCTAGTTTAATACTTCAGGGCCATACAATCTGTATTGCAGCTACTCTGCCCTCATAGCACTAGAGCTACAGTCCATAAATGAATGAGCATGTCTGTGTTCAGATAAATATTTACAAAACAAATGGGCTTTATTTGGCCTGCAGGCTGTAGTTTACTGACCCCGATCTATTCAATAAATATTTGTTAAACAGTGCTTGACATTAATGTTACCTACATAAAAATTAGATTTCTGTCACAACATATGTTTTATGCTTATCTTCTAAGGTAACTTACGAGGCAGTTGATTGGTTTTGAACAACCTTTACTTATTCAGAGATATAATCTCTCATTTTTATTGTTTAATATTAATATATAAAGGAATTGTGGTGGTCTGATCATAATTTTGACTAATTTGAGTCATATTGGTTTGATCAGAAGCTTTCCACTTCTTTACTATTGACATGCTAAATGTCAAGCATTTTCGTTAAAATAATAGATTCTACTTTTTTGCTGGAGGAAAGGCCTTCACAGTTGAAGCCTTGTTGATTTATTTCAGTAAAAAATTTGTTTGGGAAAACTACTTGGTTGTTTTGGTTGTGTGCTCTAAATGTTTCCCATATTTTACCATTAAGCAATCTTAGTATTAGAAGTGCTTTTAATATTTTCCTTCTTTGTGTGTCATTTCTAGCTAAGTGGATTGATTTTTTATTATTCATTTTTTTGAGAAGTTGTGTTTACCCCTAATTCTTATTTAAAAAAACAAGAAACACTGATGGCTTTTCATTATAGGGCTCCAACGAAAGAATCCTCTGAAGAGGAGTATGACTCTGGAGTTGAAGAAGAAGGATGGCCTCGTCAAGCAGATGCTGCAAACAGCTAAACTCTCAGACTTCTGTCCTGTATATAACGTTTTCCTTCTTTTGTTTAGGATCGTAACTCTCTCTACAGTCTGACATTAAAAGCATTGGATCTATCTTGGATATCATACATGGTCAGAGCTTTTAGGATAAAAATCAGATCATGTATATAATGTAACATCACATTGATTTATACAGACTGACATTACATGGACTTTAATGACACAGTGTTCAGAGACAAAATGTACATTATTTTGGTTTGGTTTTTAAAAAATACGCTTTAAAAAAATTCTTAGGAGTTCTTTTAAGCAATGCAGGTGTTGCAATAACTGTGGATTTTACAATAATGTAACTATAAATGGGAAAATAAATTCTTTAAAATTGAAGATTGGGATGCCATTCTTTAGCCTTTTCTACCCATGTTTATTTCCTGAAAATATTAGAATTTTTTTCGTCTTAAAAATTGGAACAGGTAGTTTCCAAGTAGTTAAAGATTTCATGGAAAAAGTACCCTGAAGAACCTTATTTTGATGATTTGTTTAGCTGTATTCTTAGTCTTATCCACTAATGCATGACACTAAACTTCCCCATTGGACTATAAAAAAAAGGCCATTCTCTTGCTGACTTGTCTGATTTATTTGCCATCTTTGGTCCATTTTAGTACCATGAGTGAGCAGATGGAATTGAAGTCTGCCTTAAATCTTCAGAAAAAGACTACATCTAATTCTAAAAGTAGCATTACAGCCATGTGCTGAGCTAAATAAAATATCCCTAATACATTTACCTAAAGTACTTAGTTTTTTGTTGTTTTCTGGTGCTGGATATTTGTCTAATTCTTTGGCTTCATAGAATATTAAAGAAAATCTATGCTGTCAGCAGAAGGGAATGTGTTCATACTAAAATATAAGTTATTAACTTTCATTATATAAGAAAACTAAACAGTGGGGGAAATTTGGGGGACTTAACAGTGAAAATTATTTCATTTGATTCCATAAATATTAAAATATTTGGGTACCTTTTAAACTTTTTTCTTTCCCACTATATTGATAGAAGTTCCTATACTGTTCCTTCAGTTCAGCCTCGTTGGAAATTGTTGAAATCAGAGTACCTTTAAACATTTGTTTTCAGTTTTCCTCTTACTGCCCCTGCCCCCATTTTCTTAGGAAAAGAACCCTAAGCTATTAGCAAATTCTACATCTTGCTGATGAAATTGGGTTTTCTGTGATGTAATAAGAGATGTTAGATATCTGTTTATGGCTGGGGTAGGACCAGAAATGCACTTTTGCAAAGTGTTTAAGCCTGGTTGCTAGAGTATAGAACAGAAACTGGTATCTTTCTTGGTCTCCCTAGTAATGGTTGAAGTTCTTCTCAGGAAGTCTTTCATATAACTGTTCTTTATCTTTTTCTTACAGCCTCATCATTTTCCTTTTTGTAGAGTGAAAATTGGAGTAGCTACTAAATATATTAAAGGCAGTCCTCCAGAAATGCACTGGGAGACATTTTAGTCACAACAACTTACATTTGGTTTTGAAAGTTAAAGCATAATTGATGTTTTTAAATTAAACACAACTGAGTATAACTACGATTTGTATCTTGAAACTTGTTTTGGCATTTGAATAAAACAAAAGGATTAAATGAAAGCCATTGTTGTGGTGTGTCCATAATGCAGTGCCATTTTTAAAAGGACACAGATATCATGAGTGGCTTTATTCTAGAGACTGTTAATCCTGACACATTCATATTCCTCTAATAAATTCTCCTAGTTGTAGATTCCACAGATAAAAAGTCTGTTTATGTTAAACATTGATTGAAAATCCTTACTTAAATATCCTGCATGGGCCCCACACTAGGAATACAGACCAAGCTTTCCAAGAAGTTTACTAGTCTAGTAGGGGAAGCAAATACAAACATCAGTGCATTATAATAATGGAAGTGAGGTAGGTACCAGGTGTGGCACAAAAGGTGATAGCCCAGATGGATCTGGAAGAACAAATAGGAATTTTCCAGAAAGGAATAATGAAAAGTAAATCAAAATCTCAGAAATGTGAAACAACTAGGGAGATTTAGGAGTTGAGAAATAGGCAACCAGTACAACTTCATGTTACTACTCTGAGAAGACCATTTAATGTATTTTATCCCCTCTCCATCTTACTGAAGACTTTGCCTTTCATTGAGAAACCATCAAAAGATGGAACTCATCTTCCCACCATCAAATCTATAAATGTATCTGCTTCGGCACCCAACCTTTCTCTCCAGTTACAGCTGAAGGATTCCTTTTATCAAAACTCAGTCACTCCATGTTATTATGAGGGGATCCCATCATCCCCTCTCATTTCTTAAGGCCTCCGGTTCTTTTGTTAGTATCTCTACTACATTATTGGTCTCCTTCCTTCTGAAACATTCCCAGAAGCATCTAAACAATGCCTAGTATTTCCTGTTCTATAGCAAACCCCCAAGCTTATTTTTCACTTGTCTTTCCAACTACACCGTTAAGTCCACTAGCATGAAGATCATGCCTGTTTCGTTAACTATAACCAGCACTTACATGGTGCTTCATAATATTTGGTGCTCCGTACATTTTTAAAAAAGTATAGAATATCTCGTATGCCAGATTAAGTTGTAATTTTTTTTTTTTTTTTTTTGCGATATGTGGGCCTCTCACTGTCGTGGCCTCTCCCGTTGCCGGACGCGCAAGCTCAGCGGCCATGGCTCACGGGCCCAGCCGCTCCGTGGCACGTGGGATCCTCCCGGACCGGGGCATGAACCCGTATCCCCTGCATCGGCAGGCGGACTCTCAACCACTGCGCCACCAGGGAGGCCCCCCTAAGTTGTAATTTTATGCAGAAAGTAGTGGAGAGCTATTAAAAGGGTTTTAAGCATGAGAATTGGACATCACTAGATATGTGTTTTAGATTGTTGGGAAGGGAAGGTGCTGAGATAAATGGAGGGAAACATGACTAGAGGCCTACTTGTGGACATTTCTCCAGCACTTGCCCTTTATCTCCTACCATCTTTTGGATCAGTTTTTTTTTTTAACTGGAATATAGTTGATTTACAATGTTGTGCTAGTTTCAGGTGTACAGTAAAGTGAATCAGTTATAAATATATCCACTCTTTTTTAGATTCTTTTCCCATATAGGCCATTATAGAGTATTGAGTAGAGTTCCCTGTGCTATACGGTAGGTCCTTATTAGTTTTCTGTTTTACATATAGTAGTGTGTATATATCAATCAGATAAATTCTTATCAACATAAAAAACATAACTCTCTTGAACCCACATCCCCTCCACAGTAAACTACAAGTTGATCTTGCTGTTTCCAGTTCCCTTCCAGGCTTTGATTCTGAGTGAGATGAGAAGTTGCCAGAAGGTTTTGCATGGAGAAATGACATAATCAGATGTAAGTTTTAAAACACCACTCTGGTTGCGGTATAAGAGAGCACACTACAGAGGACCAAGGACTAAATCAGGGGCACTTGGGGCTATTAAAATAAACCTACTAGAAGATGATGGATTGGACTAAGATGATAGCAATGTAAGTGGAAGAGTGGATGGGTAGGTATTTTTGCAAATCTGATGAAAAGTGGTATCCCATGTTCCTCAATGGGAAAACAATATTATAAAGATGTCTGTTATCCCTATGTTAATTTATAAATTTAATATTCCAATAAAATGCCAATAAGTTTTAAAATGAAACTAGGCAAATGGATTCTAAAGTTCACACAAAAAAATAAGAATGGTAAACAAGCAAAATGATAATGCACACTCATAGTGCTTACTCTGTGTCACTCTTCATTTAATGCAACAACTCTATGAGGTACATACTCTTATCAACCCTTCTAGATGAAGAAACTTAAGCCCAGAGTGTTTAAGTAGCTTTCTCAAGGTCACACAACTAGTAAGTAACAGCCAGGATTTAACCCCAGGTAGACTGGTTCCAGAGCCTCTCCACCTAACCAACAACTGAAGAATGAGGAAGGACTGCATCTTCTATTTTTAAAATATTATAAACCGGGCTTCCCTGGTGGCACAGTGGTTGAGAGTCTGCCTGCCAATGCAGGGGACACGGATTCGTGCCCCGGTCTGGAAAGATCCCACAGGCTGCGGAGCGGCTGGGCCTGTGAGCCATGGCCGCTGAGCCTGCGCGTCCGGAGCCTGTGCTCCGCAACGGGAGAGGCCACAACAGTGAGAGGCCTGTGTACCGCAAAAAAAAAAAGAAAAAAAATATTATAAACCTTTAAATATTTAAGTGTGTACCAGTGCATGAATGAACAGACCAATGGAAAAGAATGTAAAGTACAGAAATAGATCCCAAATATATATGGGAATTTAGTATTGGAAAAGGTGATATTTCAAATTAGGAAAAGAATATTTAATAAATGGTATTGACAACAGTATACATCTAGAAAATAAAAAGGTATATCCATACCTTACCTAATAAATTTTAAGACGAAAACTGAAGCCTTTAAATATTATGTACAGTATTACCTAATTACTGAATACATAAAATACAAATAAATATGTAGAATATTACAAAGTTTCTGAGAAATATTGGTCCCTTGGGAAGTGAGGTCAGGCTCATGTTGGTTCTTCTCATGGTACAGAGCTGGACTCTTACCCAAGGGATCATCCATCACTTCACAGCTTTGAAAAGTAAAGCTCTCATCATGTGATACTGGAGCAATTGGACATCCAAAGGGGTGGGGTGGGAGTGGGGGCTCAAACTAAGTCTCAATACCTTATACAGAAGTCAACTCAAAATAGATCACAGACTTAAATGTAAACCTAGAAAACTTTCAGAAAAAGCACAGGAGAAAAGTTTTCAGGATCTAGGGCTAAGAGTTCTTAGACTTGACTCCAAAATCATGATCCATAAGAGGAAAAACTGCTAAGTTGGACTTCATCAAAATTAAGAACTTTTGCTCTGAAAAAAAACAAAACAAACATGTTAGGATGAAAGGACAAGCTATAAAATGGGGGGAAAATATTTGCAAACCACATACAAAGGACTAATATCTAGAATACATAACTCAAATTTCAGCAGTAAAAAAAATAAATCCAGTTAGAAAATGGGCAAAAGACATGATCAGACATTTCAGTGAAGAGGGTATACAGATGGCAGATAAGCATATGAAAAGATATTCAACATAATTAGCCATTAAAGAAGTGCAAATTAAAACCACAATGAAATATCACCACATATCTATCAGGTTGTCTAAAATAAAAAATAGTGAATACACAAAATGCTGATGAGAGTGCAGGCAAAATGGATGATTCATATATCACTGGTGGGAATATAAAATGGTACAGCCACTTTGGAAAACAATGTGGCAGTTTCTTTAAAAACTAAACATGTAACTGGTGTATGACCTAGCAATTGCACTCCTGGGCAT